ACGATTTTTTGATAAAAAGATTCTAATTGGTACACTGATTTTCAGATCTACTACCTATTCGATTTGACATTTCGATTCGATGCAATATCTTGATCCAATTCTATATTTCAATTGAATATTTTCGATTTTTTTCTGCAAATCGATTAATCGATTCAAAAATAAAATCGATTTGTATTGATATACAAATTTTTGCTCTTGCCTAGACAGCATACAAATATCAAAATTTGTGGCAAGCGCCAGCCCTAACATTAGCTTAGTTAGCAGTTAAGGTGTATTTGTGTGGTTTTATTGTTAAATTTCTGTGTAATATTATGAAACAAACATACAATCAAGAAAGATATTTGGCAATGCATCCGTAGTTCCTAATTGAGTATGCATACATAGTTGTTTGAGATGACACTACCCTGTCCAGCAGAAGGGTATGAAAATTACAAAAAAAAAAGTTAAAAAAATTCAGTTTTCATGACATAATTTGAGCAGTGGTGGCGCGTGAACATTGATTGAATGTGTTCTGCTTAGGGTTGTTACATTTGTTGAATTGAATTCCGGGATATTAAGTACCCGGAGTCTCTAAATGGCGCCGCAGGCAAAAAATTTTAAAATTTTCAAGGTCACGCGTTTTCCTGGCACTTCTGAATTTCAAGGAACAATGAATTTATAAAAAAAATACAGATTTTCACAAGAATAATTTTTGAAATTGATACCTTTTTGAAATATCCATTTACGAATTACCTACTGATGGTATAAATAAATTGGAATAAACTAAATATATTTTATTAAATTATTGAATATTGTTTATAAACAAAAAAATCGTTTGTGAAATTTACCAACGATTCAACGAATTTTAATTTTCCTCGGCGTTATGATTTTTTCTTTATCTTTTTTTATATATATGTACATTATATTATATTCCGGGAGTTATACGTGCAAATCCGAAATCCGGGACCATACAGCTAATTCCCGGTACAATCACAGAAAATCCCGGTCATACGTATGTGGCTAGATGTTCTTTTAATATGTCGTCAAGATCAGCACTAAAATTTATGAGTCCACGAAACACACCAGGGTTGTCCGAATTTTCTGACTCGTCGTGTCCGCGAAGTGCTAATTCGAAAGCTCCGCAAAATTTTATGCAATCTATGATTTTAGATAATACATAACGATTTTTCATTTCCTGTTCATTGTGTTTCCATATATTATCCCAATATGCAGAATCTAACTGACTTCTTATGTTTATTTTACCTAAAGACTTAATGACTTAAATCTTTCACACTGTATATTGTCCATGCTTTATCCCCATCAAAAAGTAAGCACGGAAAACAAAACAGTGTATTTTTTATATCACACCCGCACACCCACTCTGCTTTTGTGTATACATTATTGTTTTTTTATAACTTTTACTTCTTTTATTTTTAGTTTATCCTCATAAGGGAGAGAACCAAATAAAGTTTTTTTTTTAACGAAACGCTATTCATTTTAATAACTATAATATCCATAGACGCCTAAACGAAAATATTCACACGTGCCGCTCGCATAAATAAACCACCACATACCACGTACGAAATATTACTGCATTTACTGCAGTGCAGTGGCTGTCGCTATTGCAGCCGCAAAAGCCCCTATCTTCGTGTACTGGGTCACGTGCCTGATTAGCCAATAAAAACAAAGGACGCATCTAATTGTTCGCTGTCCACACATTTTGTATATGAGGTTGCATATATTAAGGGGCGTAGCTCGCGTCGCAATAAATAATAATATAAGCTCCTAGATTTATTTTAGCGCGAGTACATTTGGATTCTTTAAATATTTTGTTAATTATATGATTAAATACATAAAATTTTATGTGTTCTGCAGCTCCGCATCTGTTATGGTAAAACCGCCACTGAATTTGAGGAAACAAACTTACAATATACATTCCTAAAGGTCAAAGGTAACCCCTGTATAAATATAATTCCCATTCATTCCCCTGTGTATAGGTGAGTTGCTTAGTCAAGAGTAATTACATTCACGCTATTTTATTAATTAAAAATTAAATTTAAGATTGCCAGATGTTTTTTTTTAAAGCGTCATATTTATTTCAAAAACAGATTTCAAGATTTGACAACAATAAATAACTAGGTATCCCGTTGTTAATGACAGTACCAAACTGCGCTTTTTGTGTATAAGAAAATGCAATATATTTGATGAAGTGGAATATTATATGACAAAGCAAAAAATTGGAACATATACAGCGTGTCCCACTAGTACGGGAAAGTCCAATATCTATGTTAAAATGAGGAATTCTTTTTACTGTGTTGCCACATTTCTCGGAATGTACAAATTAAAAATATATTCAACTATACAGGGTGTTCCACTTTTCCTGGCCAGACACCGACTTTGGTTTTTTAAATAGGAACACACATTTTTTATATCTTTTTCGGATTCTACATAAAAAATAAAGGGTACTTTGTGTAGAATAGTTCTATTCAAATAGTCACAATTTTTGAGATATCTCGCTTGAAAGGTTTTTCTAGTCGATATTGGCTGCTTACATTTTCTGATAGTAACAGGTCATACTAATAGCTACTAAGCCCATTTTTTTATCAGATGTTTAGTAGGGATGACTCTTCCGAATCATGCTCCAAAAACTGGCCTGCGTTATACAGGGTGACCAAAATATCATGTCAAAATTGCCAATTGAAAAATTGAAAAACTCGAATTTTTTAAATGCAACCCCCTCCCCTGTATATTTTCATACCATGAGATGCAGAATTAAATTCTCTACAACTTTGCTATACCTGCTCCTATACCAAAATTAATTAGTTTTTCATGAAATCTCATTTCTAAAGAAGAATTAGTAAATAAATAATAGAATAATTAATAAAACTCATGGTAACTGTTTATTGACAAGTATTTACCAAACTAATAATCCATATTTACAAAGATATCCTCGTACAAAGTGTTTTGTAAAACTGAAGGAGAGGTTTGAAAGAACAACAAATGCAAATTATGAGAAGACAAGAAGAACACACGCATGCAGTATCCAAAACAGTAAATTAATATCGTGCATTTCTAACAAAAGTAATAAAGACCTAGTTAAATTAGTAATTAACAGGTAACCGCTCAAAATGTCTGCCATTTTTCTTTAGACATTGAACAATTCTACGACGAAAACTGCTTGACACATTTCGCAGTATTTCCGGAGTTACGGTCAAAAAAGCATTTCTTATCTCTGTCCGTAAATCTTCTACATCTGTCGGAGGAGTTTCATTGTCTTTTATATAGCCCCATAAAAAAAATCAAGACAAGACAGGTCTGGGGATCGGGGAGGCCATGGAATTGGACCGCCTCTACCTATCCACTTATCTGGATACAAACCATTTAAGTATTTTCTAACCTGAAACAGATTTTTTTTTAATTTACATAACTTACATAATGAGAAAACTTACCGCCAGTGTGGAATGTGCAGGGGCACCATCATTTTGGAACCACTGACTGTTTAAGTCATCTGGAGGAATATGTCCCTGCAATTGGAGCAAATCGTTTTGTAAAAATTGCAAGTACCCATTACCAGTTAAGTTTCCTTCAAGAAAATGTGGTCGAATCCAATGACATATTCTCCGCATATTCCCGCCCAAACGTTGACTTTAAAGCGGTGTTGATGATCGTCTTGTCTTATTATTCTCGGATTATGATCGGCGTAATGGTGATAATTATGTCGATTCTCTCGACCAGTATTGGCAAAGGATGACTCGTCAGTAAATAACACCTTTGAAAAAAAATTTATCTTGTTATAGCTTTATAGTTGCCCACTCACAAAACTGTACTCGCTTCTGAAAATCTTGCTGTGTTAAGAATTGGTGATGCTCAGAATGATAGGGGTGGAAGTTGTTTTTCTTTAACGTTCTATTAACCACACTTTTGGAAATACTAATTTCATCACTAATTTCTCTGACACTTGTAGATGGATTTTGGACTGCACATTCCAAAATGTCAATTTGACTATCCTGATTACCACATGCGTGTGTTCTTGTTGTCTTCTCATAATTTGCATTTGCCGTTCTTTCAAACCTCTCCTTCAGTTTTACAAAACACTTTGTACGAGGATATCTTTGTAAATCTGGATTATTAGCTTGGTAAATACGACTTGCCAATAAACAGTTACCATGGGCTTCTCTTCTTCTATTAAACCTTTCTTTCTATTAAACCTTATGTGAATCGAAAATTATCCAGATTATCCTTTGACAGGAGCCTACTACGTTATTTTACATATAAGCTATTTGTAAACTTCGCATTTTTTCATAGAAATGAGATTTCATGAAAAACTAATGAATTTTGGTATAGGAGCAGGTATAGCAAAGTTGTAGAGAATTTAATTCTGCATCTCATGGTATGAAAATATACAGGGCGTTGCATTTAAAAAAATCGAGATTTTTCAATTTTTCAATTGGCAATTTTGACATGATATTTTGGTCACCCTGTATAACGCAGGCCAGTTTTTGGAGCATGATTCGGAAGAGTCATCCTTACTAAACATCTGATAAAAAAATGGGCTTAGTAGCTATTAGTATAACCTGTCAGTATCAGAAAATGTAAGCAGCCAATATCGACTAGAAAAACCTTTCAAGCGAGATATCTCAAAAACAGTGAATATTTTGATAGAACTATTCTACACAAAGTACCCTTTATTTTTGATGTAGAATCCGGAAAAAATATAAAAAATGTGTTTCCATTTAAAAAACCAAAGTTGGTGTCTGACCAGGAAAAGTGGAACACCCTGTATAGTTGAATATATTTTTAATTTGTACATTCCGAGAGATGTGACAACACAGTAAAAAGAAAATATATTCCTCATTTTAACTTAGATATTGGACTTTCCTGCACTAGTGGGACACGCTGTATATGTGTTCCAATTTTTTGCTTGGGGGTAACTAAATTTTTCAACGGATTCTACTTCCTCTGTTACTGTGTCAGGTTAATATGATTAGTTATAATTCAATAATTCACAGTAAAATATTTACCATGCACTAATCTCTGTAAGGTAGCTATTTCTTCTTCTGCTTTACGTTTTTCAACTTCAAAGTTTGACTCTAAAGTCATACTATCCACAACCAACTGACTTTTACAATCATCTAACTGATTCTTTAATTTTATAACCTCTTCACTTAGTTGAAGGTTCTCTTCATTTTTTCTTTGTAATTCAGCTATAATATTAATTTTTTATATTATGTAAATATTGAGTACTTTTCTTTCACCTACACTAAGTTGTAACTGGTAGAGATAAATATTGCCAGTGCTGTATTAAAAATTTTTCTCAAGTGCAAATGCACCATCATACACTAGCCATGTAACTGACAAATAAATTGTTACAATTTCCGACACCGAGTGCAAATATATTATTGTAAGAAAAAGCACTTGCGAAGGAAATGAACTAGTGTGTATGTGCGAACATTGTACCTAGACAGTAGTGATGAAAGAAAAATACCTAGTAGTACAGTAGCTGCTTTCCAATTAACCCCCCCCCCCCCTCAAGCACTACCCATACGTGTTCTCTCGGGTGTTTCAATTATTTAAGTTTGGAGTATTTAAAGATTAGAACAGTAGAAGAACACTTCAGGAGCAGTTCCTTGGCAATTGGAAAGCAGCTAGTATTAAACGTTACTAACCTTCTTTTTGTAAAAATAAATCTTTTAATTTAGCTCTTTGTATATTAAATTCGTCCTGTATTCTTTTCTTATCCATTTCCAATTCTTGAATTCGATTTTGTAAATCTACAACTGAAATTATAAGAAATAGATAAAAACAACAATAAATTAGCAGTACCATTTTTTGTCTCTAGTATATTTCCTAATTCCTCTGAATGATCCATTTGGTTTCGTTCTAAAACATTTATCGTTTAATCAACCATGCTCTAGGGATACAAAAATTAACAATTAGTCATTACGATACAGTCAAAAAATTATTTTAAGCATAGCTTAACTTAAAACCACAAAACTGATAAATTTAATAACCTACAAAATATTAGTTTGTCATTTGTCAAAAGAGGGTTTTTGGTTTTTGCATCGATTTGACAGTATACTATGGAATTTATTAGTGATGTTCATAATCGACTAATTTTTATAATCGAGTTATCGGTAATCGAGTACTTCTAATAATCGAGTGATCACTCGAGATAAGAGATATTGGTCGTTTTCATCCCAGCGGCGCACAAATATGTTTGTATTAGCCATATATTACTTATAAGCGTAGCTAAAAAAAAAAAAAAGCTCATGCACTTCAAAACCTAACCACTTTTTCGTTTTATTCTAAAAAAAAGGTTACGCAATCAGTGACTATTTGCAGTATGCACTAACATTTTGGAGTGCAACCGTAGGCTAATAATCACTCGAGTGGTGGGAGTAAACATCTCGAGATATCTCGAGTGATCTCAATAATCGAGTACCACTCGACTAAGACACTTCCCTACCCGCTGGAAAACGGCAAACATAATCCTTATCCCAAAACCCAACAAAGATCACACCATCCCATCCAACTACCGGCCCATTAGCCTGCTCCCGGCTATGAGCAAAGTGGTAGAAGAAAATTATCCTAACCAGTCTAAGAACCCACTCCCAAGAACTGCAAGTCATTCCAGACGAGCAGTTCGCCTTCCGACCCAATCACTCCACTGAACTCCAAATCCTTCGCCTTACCGAGCACATCACGGCGGCCTTCAACAGGGGACAGTACACTGGTGCTGTGTTCCTGGACGTTGCAAAGGCCTTCGATACGGTTTGGCATGAAGGCCTACTGATGAAAATGCTCACCAACCAATATCCCATATCCTTTACCAAACTCATAAAATCCTACCTACACCACCGAAAATTCCGCATCCAAATCCAAGATTCCCTTTCCACCACCCGTCCCATGGAGGCCGGTGTCCCCCAGGGCACCGTCCTGTCCCCACACCTATACACCATTTACAACTCCGACATCCCACATCCCCCCAACACCAACATATACTTATACGCCGACGACCTGACAATCACATCCCAATCCGTAGATCCTAGATATTCCGTCTACCTCCTCCAAAACTCCTTAGACCAACTTGAAACCTGGTGCAACAGGTGGAAAGTCAAAATTAATCCCAACAAAAGTTCGGCTATCCTTTTTACCAAACGAAAAATCCCACAAAACCTCGACAGACTGACACTATCCCAGGAACCTATCTCCTGGAATCGACAAACACGATACCTGGGCGTGACGATGGACCAGCGTCTCACGTGGAAACCGCACATCGTGGAGACGGTGGCGCGAGCGAAGACCACCAGGGCTAGGCTCTATCCCTTACTCAAAGGTGGAAACACCCTCAGTTTAAGGAATAAGCGAACGCTTATCAAGGTGGTACTTCAACCGCAGCTAACCTACGCCTCCACGGCGTGGGGTCACGCGGCAAAAAGCCACTTAAAGTCATTACAGGCTGTGGAAAACATAGCCCTCCGCACGGCCACCGACGCGCCCTGGTACGTAAGAAACACTGACATATTACGAGACTTACAATACACAAACGCTACACAGACAATAAGACAAAACGCGGAGAAACGGTTTGACGTAGCCGCTAGACATGACAATCCCCTCCTCAGGCAAGCCGTTGACTACGTACCCGACGTGACCGACAAACACAAAAGACCTAGACACCAACTTTTTGACCCTGGGTGACCACCCCAACGACATCCCCGCCCCTGCTCGCAAACCCTTTCTGTTTCAGAGACCGCCAGGATTAACCGCGTTGAGAGGAGAAAAACGCGTACATAAAAGGGGTCTTAGCACCGCGTCGGCCACTTCAACCGCGTCGAACGCGCCGCCGCACCAGCCGTTTGTCGCCGCTCACCCAGGACGTCGTGTTAAAGTCAATCCATAAACATGACACTACCCCCGGGGTTTACACAGACGAGCCGGCGAAGCAAGAAGAGCGCCAGAAGAAAGGGCCCTAGCCGGCGGGGCCCAGCCAGGACAAAAGGAGGTCCCACAAAGCGCCTACACCGGCCGCATTTGCGGTCGGGGTAGACGACGGATGGGGCCCACCTACGAAGGCTGTCCAGGCCTACACGAGATGAGGCAGGATAAAGAGGGATAATCCCCCCTCGATCCCAAATCATTGAGGCCAATTTCTAGCCATGGAATAATGGCGTGAACCCCCTCGTACTGGCTTCATTATATTTACACCGAGCCATGACAAACATAATTATGATGACAATCCTCCCAACCCCCAAGTATATTTTCCATTTTATCATAATAATAGTTATGTTATTCACGTCACGTTACAGTCACGTTACGCTATTTTTCGTCCTATAATACTATTTTCAAAGGTATTACTCCTAATAATATAACGTTTTAACATTATTTCGGTAGATCGGATATATATATTATACTGTGTTCTTTTCTTCACAAGTTCTTGGTTTTGTAAATAGCCAATAGAGTTGAATCCATAGAAAATATAGTACTAACGTAGAATGAAATGATGTCCCTAATATTGCCACTAAACCGCGAAACAGCGCCACGTAACGTTTTGGAAGCTTACTACTACTTAGCTCCTAATGAGCAGGCAACACTTTATACTTTGTGAACTGATTACAGCGCCATCTATCGTATGGAAACGACTTCTCACTTATATCCTCTATATTATATTATTTTAAAAGTAAACCCTTATACAAATAGGAATAGTCAAGTGTCAATACTTTTGAGAACAGATTATTTAGTTAAACAGAAAATGTAGCGAAAAACTAATATTCAGTACTTTTCTAATTCGCTTCTGCTTTGATAACGAAACTAGAGGTTTCATAAA